CCCATTCCTGATCCCAGAAGTCTTGGGACTGTACTTTTCAAAAAAAAATCTTCATTTATTTCAGGACAGTCTCTGTATATTGTAGAGTTAGTGTAGTTTTAATTATAATCTTAGTTGTCATTCCATTATGGTAGGAGATAATTGAAAAAATGCCACCTGTTTAAGTATTTGGTTCTGCTTAATATAGGAAATAGTATCAATTAAGGCAGGGTTTAAGCCTGAAAGAGGCAGGGTTTTTGGACCAGTGCATAGCAAGGCTTCCCAGTGCCTGATCTTTTTCAAACTTGGCATGCTCGTAAAAACACTCATTTATCAGTGCAACTGTACAGTTTCATTTGAATTTGACTCAAGGTTTTGTTATGGCCATTTGAAGTTGTTGTAAGACATTGATTTAACAACTCCTGAAGGAGTGGCACCCCCAAGAATTGTGCCATGATGACACTGGAATTTTGATCTGCCCTGGCTCATTGACAGTTGAGATGGAGGAAGGCAAAGGGCACGTTTGCCTGATAATGTGGTACATGGACCTAGTCAGTTTGGGAAAATAATGTACCCTCAAACTGGCCCTCATCTGTGTGACTGGTCGATTTTTAAATATTCCTCTGCTAAACATTTGCTTAATGGAGACGGCCAACATCAGTGGACAAGAGTACGGTAAAATAAATTTCTTCAGTTGACTTTTTTATAATCACATAACATTTGTTTCAATTTTCAATGAAATTTTATCTTTTTTATTCCACTTTATGATTCAGATTTGACCTTGCATCGTTAATGTGGCTGAGGCTGCAGGTATATTATTTTGTGAGTTTGCATTTCTGTTTTTGTTCGTTCCTGAGAAATAATTGGTCGCTTTTGTTTCACAGTACCAGCTTTGGATTTCATGTTTTCTTGTTACATATTAATCCTGCAGTATGAATGAACAGTTTTTGCAAGATTTAGCCTCAATTAAACACAACCCAGTTTAAATATTTCATCTGTCTTCTTCCTTTATTGCTGTGAAGATTCATTTTGTTGCTGTTGTGTCTTTTTGTACAATAAACACATGAATGAAAATTGAGTTTCTTGACCAAAATCTCTTTAATTTATCCTTTTAATTTGTGATTTTTAAAAAAGAATTTAATGTGCTTTCATTTACCGTCCAAACCATGGAGAACTGAAGCCCATGGCAGTTGGTAAAGTTTGTTTCTTCAGCTTTTTGTTGCCCAAACTAGTTCCATAATTTTGTGATGTTCGTTCTAAGAAACTAATGAAATAGCACTTTGAGACTACAGTGCTGGTGTACTGCATATTCATGATTAAACTTCAGCATCTATATTCATGACCTCCCCCTCCCCCCATCAGTCTACTATACATTATTCATGAGCTCCTCATGCCAGCTGCCTACCAAGCTCTGATGTACGTGAACACATGTCTATATAGTGGTGTTATGTACAGTACACTATGTACATGTACTGTACATGTTTTGCACTGGCAATGATGATTTACACCATACTGCTATGTGTGCATGTAGATGCATAATGCACAATACATGTACTGTACCCAGTATGAATAATAAATATAAGCCAGCATTGTACATGCACATGTATGACCAGCCTGCATTGAAGGTTTCACTGGGAGTGTGTTTGCCTTTTGTGTTTCCACTTGTAAATCTTTTAGCATACCATGCTTGCATCATGCTTGAATACAACTCCCTTTATGCTGTACTGACCGGATACCATGCTTGCATCATGCTTGAATACAACTCCCTTTATGCTGTACTGACCGGAATAAAAGGGTTTAAGAATTGTCTCTCTCCTGGTTGGCAGCAAGAGCGAGTTGTTAGGAGACATTACATTACAAGAGAAAAATGTTATTTTACCTTAGATCTTAATCAGTTTGTAGAAATATACCTGTACCTTAATATGCAATTATCTTATAATACTAAGTTAGTTAGCTTCTATTGTCGATGCATGCATAAGATCTTGTTCATCATGTCTACATAACAATAAGCCCATGGCCATTTAGTGGTTCACTGATCAAGCAAAGGATAATTAGGTAATCCGGGCAATACATGTTGGCCTACTCTTCAGGCATTTTAAGCTCTTGTACTTCACTCTACAAATTCACCGTGCACAATATTGAGAAGCTTGCTCTCTTGTCAGCAAACACAGCAAACGGTCATTTGGCTGATTGAAAGGCAGAGTACAGATGTATTTATAACGGCGGTGGCTTTCGAGGAGGTTTTTTTGTTAGTAAAATGAGCTTTGGAGCATTCTATGTGTGAACCCTGTCTGCTCTCAGTGCTCTGCATTGCCTGTCTGGCCATACCAGTACAAACAAGCTCAGAGTGCAACCAAGTGTCACATTTTGGTCATGCTGTGTATAGCAGAGAATATATTCCAGGGAGGTCACGGCTTATATGTGGCAACCATCATTCACCGATACATTCCAGCTACAAACAGTAAGACCTGTTCCAGTTCATAGGCATGCCTCGTCAGTCCAACATCGTTGAGAAGAGAGCTGGGTAGTGCCAAGTGCTTGTGAATAGTGGACTAGTGAGTCCCATTGTTGGATGACTTGGTAGGGGAATGAGTTTGACCTATCAACCATGGTGTTCACCTGTGTATTGTTTTCACCGTGGTGAGAGTATGCATCACCAGACATGGTGTGTAACTGATGAAAACACTTGAGACTTGGAATATTGATTTTGTTCAGGATGTGCTACTGCAGGTGCATGTGCCTTGGAGTCAGCATCCCCTGACTTAAACTACTGCCATGACTGCAACCAGGCTTTAATGCACAATTCTCCGATACCGGAATTGCAGGTGAATGTGATGCACTTGATGAATTGTGCTGTATTGTAGAATGACACGTCTGGATATTAAGTGAATTGGACTCGACTGAGCTGGAAAGGTGCAAAGTGTGTGTGGGCCGATCACCCATATCATCTGTTTTATGAGGTGCACTGTAGGCCTACATTTTTTAGTCATGGTCAGTAGGGACATTGTCTGAATGGTAAACCAATTGTTGACGTTAATATAGAAATGATCAGGCTTGTTGCTCATGGGACGCTGAATTAACTTGTGAAGTCCTTCAGGTAAACTCCAAACTCACGATGCCCGAACGCTTTACGACGAGGATGGTATTTGTTGAAGCATCGATTGCTTCGCCAGTATGACTCTTAAGTTACCAATGATAAAACAACAGTGGTGTCTAGAAGCTATTGACACCCAGTACAAGGAATCGTTACACCGAGACAGGCAGAAGAATAAAAAGAGGTATGTTTTTGTTGAAGCAGAAACGTACATGTAGGAATTGTTTCTTGATTATGGCAATTTGTTCTTAACGTTGCAAATCTTTAAATGTTTATGAAGTCAGTTACACGTACACTAGTTGTGGTAAAAATAAAAATTGTTCATTTCGGTGTTATGCTATAAATTCTTGTTGGAGCACTTCTAAATACTTCTCTGTTGTTGCAAGGTGTTTCTTAAGATTGGATTCATAATGCCTTTCTCCAAGAAATATCTGTAGCAAATTGATTTCTATTTTGTGTGAATGTGAAGATGATTTTTATCATTGAAATAATCAGACTTGAAAACACAAGGTTCATATCGTTGTAAAATGATTTCTTGATGCCAGTGTCAATTTTCAATTAATGCATCTTAAGTTTCATTTATGATTGGTTGACAAATGCATTCTGCATGATGTTGCCATGGTGATGTTAATTACTATTTACTGTAGGTTTGTCTGGTGAGCGATAACCACTCACCTATCCATGAACAGTGTTGAAAGCACCCAAGGTTTGTTTACAACACTTTGGTATTTGAACAGGGCAAATATTGATACATCAAACAAGACTGTGCTAGCTGAGTAAACACAAGGGCATTGTGGGATTGGAAGCTACATACATGTTTGCTGAATGCGAGCAGCCATTTTTGCCTCTGTTAGTTATATGTCCCGTTATCAGCTGAAGGGGCACTTTGATGTTCATCACACCTAATTCTTGGAGACAATTTTGTACATGTACAGTGGGACTATGCTGTCACTGTCTGACAGAAGTATAGTTTTGCATATACAACCTGCACTGGGTGTACATGAAACAGCGGGCAACTTTACAGGCCGATCAGCTTGACAACTGTCTGAAAATAGAGGTCTGATTTAACATGATCAAATCCAGGTAATGCATGGATTTGTTTGGGGGGGAGGATATATTTGTTAATTTTATGACCTTCTGTCTTTAAACTCTAACCCAGTCCCAGGTCTTCAAATTCTTCCCAGGGATTTTAGAGGATTTTGTCAAATGAGGTACAGTCAACTGTAATTGGGCTAGATACTCTTAAATTTGAATGTTGAAACTTGAAAGACAAGGAATGTGCCATTTGATTTTCCTGCGCAGCAGAGGAATGTAAGGATTCAGGAAGAAAAGCCAAAAATATCTTGGGAGTGAGGGCTGAAATGTGCACTTATTCCAAGGGTCAGGTGTCGTGGGTGAATTACTTGTGGGAATGTCCCAGCTGCCAAACCAAGTAATAAGGGAATGTTGATCAGAGAATCAATTAATCTACCAGTAGCTCTGTATCTTGGCCAGTTAACAACCAATAAAATGATTGAAGAATTGGATTGATAAGTACCCCGTTATACCATTTCACTGACCGCGGGTTGACATAAAATAAACACTCAAATGGTCTATCTTTCAATTGAAACATTCATCAAAATTTGTGACGTGATAGTTACTGGAAGTGAAAAATGGAATGCGCTTTATACCATGACCTCAGTCTCTGAAAATTTTAATTTGAACAGTTTTTTCATCCTGCTGCTTTTCCCCCAGAATCGCGGACCTTCGCCCCCCCCCTCCGGAATTTTGTTGTAAGATTGCCTCTTTCCTTCCTTTCTTTTAGTTCAGTAACCATAAGTGATTGTATTTTCATACTGACTTCCACAAATCATTAAATTTTGCTTATCTTTTGCATCTTGCTTAAGAATTTCCATTACCTTGTCAGATGGAGTTAGTGCCCTTCTTCAAGCCTCTTCCAATTTACCTCTGCCTGTTCACGTGCCACTTTGAGGATGCCCCGGCTTCGTTTCTACCCAGCAAGGCTTACTTGTCACAAACGATGAGAAAGGATGAGAGGCCACCTGCTGAAGAACTGGAGATAGATATTGTCCGTTGAAAAATCATAACTCAAAAGTCTCTTCAATTTGTATTTCAGTTCTTCCAACTCGCCCTACACGGGACAAGACTTGAATGCCAGTGGCGGCTACAACTCCAGCCAACAACCAGCTGAATCTAGCAGTAAACACCAGTCAACAGAGAGCTACCGGTCCCTTGAGAGGAGGCTAGAAAGGGAACGAGAGAAGAGAACTCAAGGTGAAACGCTGACAAATAAAGTGGATACCAAAGGTATGGGTGAATATAGCAGAATTAAGAATGGTATCGGGAAATTACCAAATTACATGTATGAGCTGGCAGATTATAATTTCTTGACACCTCAGGATTTCCTCTTAAAGAACTTAACATTTTCAGTATGTTGTCAAAATGTTGAATCCAATCTGCTCATTTTGTGCTTGTTTGTGTGCTGCATGTGCCTGAACTCTTACATTATACAGTATGACAAAAATGACGTCTTTTCTTGAAAAATATGTTGCTTATGTGTTATGATCATTAGATCTGGCACAATAAGCCTTTTGCGAGTTAACTTTGACCCAAATCTGGTACACTGAGTTCTTTAAATTCAGGTGAACATAGCAACTTGAATTCTCCTTACTAAAACAACTGTTGCTTATACCTCGTGATTCGGGGCAAGCTTTTGCTTAGTTAATGTACATAAGAGATTCCTTGCAACATACAGGAGGGGCATAAAGGAACCAGTCCATTCCAGAGATGGTGGTCGCTATGCGAAAGCTTGCCCTGAATCATGAGGTACAGCAACACTGTCTTTAGTCTGGGGAATTCAAATCCTTATGTTTATGTGCAGTCAGATAACTCAGTGCACCAGATTTTATTCAAATTTAACTCGCAAATGGCTTATGTACCTTTTATTACACTTCAAATGTCTAATAAAAGATGAGGAAGTAACCGTGTACATGTATTTACGATTTACCATGGTAGGATTTGAACCAGTAACCTTTACAGTGCTACTTCCTTCCTCACTGACAATCTTGTACGTATTTGTTGTGGATATGTATCATTGTTGTCATGCAAATACTTACGAGTTCATTAGAAACAACACCTGTCAGGAGCAGGTTGTCAAGACTCATTTCCGTCTGGATCGTGTTCACCCCTCCGCTCTCTCTTCAAGCCACTGTGTGGATCAATAACTGGTCATATTTTTGTCCTGTTGACTGTCATTGTCCTTAGCGGTAGATGTTGATACTTGGTATCTTGAGAATTAAGGATGATTTGGAATCCTGCAGACTTCTTGTTGTACAGGCTCACACAATTATTTTTAAAATTTCACCAGCTTGTTTATTACATGGATGAAGAAACATGGATGCTGCACACGTTATAACCACATGTACATTGTAAAAGCCTCTTATGACCAAAGAGAAAGTTACATTTGAGATAACAGATTTTCAAGTTTGCTTGACCGGCAGTTTATTTTCCTGGACAGGTCTAACGTTTCGCAAACTGGGTCTTCATGCCCCACCTGCCACCTCTACACACCCATCACCTCGTTTTCTAAGTCCAATCAGACATAGTCCCATATCCTCAGGTATAACCATCACACATTGAAACACAAGTCTCACACACTACCAGTTTTAGCACTTTTCAACGAGTTTGCCGTTCGATTGGTGTGGTTCATAACCATTTTGCTGTGATTTGTACACATTTTGATCATTGTTCTATTTTTTTCATTTTGCCTTATGTCTGTATTTCTTTTTAGAATTGGTAGGCATCGTTAACCCTCCCCCTAGTATAGACCATTGACTTTACATGCTAAAGTAGGGAATCTTGAAGTTTTTGGACATGTTTAGCAGAGCTTGTTCGCAGGTGAAAGTTTTTCAAGTTGGGCCTTGTTCTTTGTGAGTAGGGTCAGAAAGCTGCAGCTTCATGCACATGTGCTGTGAAATTTGCCGCCCCCCATCCACTTACTTTTTGCAAAGTGGAAACTGTAGCAGTTGTCAGAAACAGGACTTGTTCTTACGTGAGCGATGTCTGCAATACTATCCTGCTCCATTTATCACACATTCAAATTGTTGACGTGACTCATTTGCACACCGTGTGAAAAATATTTCAGTGATTTCAATGCACATTTTGAATGTCATGTAGGTTTCAGGAGGGATTAAAAAATACAGCATCACTTCAGCTCGACAGCTTACCCTTGCCATCTGCCTTCATATTGTTGTGGTCAGTTTTAACGTACATGTACGTCATTCGTTCCCTGATAGTCTTGCCAGAGGAATCTAGTCCTCCTGCCATGGACACGCGTCGGAATGGCTTCCGTCTGGCCAGCCACGTTAAGAGCCCTACGGCTAGTCGCAGTGTGGACCCCAGCACGGCTAGCAGTGGGTCCTACCGAACTATGTCCAACCGAGACGCCCTGTCCAGCATGGGAAGCCTGACTGTGGCTTCCACACCCTCCTCGGCTGCCCTCCGGGGCCACAGCATTGGCTTTGGTAGCCGGGATATGAGCGTCAGATCGCCCACGCAGCGTAGTAGAACAAAGGGTAGCATGATCATGCCCATGACAGTCAACGACAAATTGAAGAGTAAGTCATCTGATTTGCTAATTAAAAATTAAAAAACAATAGATCTTGCATGTATCTTGTCAAGCACTGAAAAACTCAAGTTTTCCGCCTGGATCCCGAAGAAGTTCAGTGCTGTGATTTATAAATCCTCATTTTAAATTCTTGTAATTAATATTAGTTTTTGGTTCTTCCACACCAGATAATCGCTACCAGTTTGTGGACCCAGTTCCTAGTGCCTCTCCTTCCTTTCAGCAAAGACTTTCAGAAATAGCTGCCTTGGAAAGTGACACTATACGATACGAAAGAACTAAGAGAATAAAAAAGCGATCCAAGCAAGAAAGCCAATGAGACACGTGGACCTCTCTGAAAGACTGCCGTACTGAAATCATTTCTGCCTGCTTGATTTAGCAAAGAAAGAAATGCCCGAAGTTTAATGTGTTACAAGCACCGCGTCAGCATTTTCAGCGTTTTTCCAGCAAGAGTGCCTTCTGCCTTCTACAAGAGCATTGTTGTAGCTTCGAGACCACAAATATGATTCTTTCATCAAGAATGGAGGACTGCGTCTCTTTAGAAGACTAAAATGGACTCCAAATTCTTTGGCCACAGATCTGGTGTATAAAGAGAATAAAATTTAAAAAATTGTGAGAACTTATGTCGGCAAAGTTATTCAATGTTTGGAATCTTTCCCTTTTTTTGCGTTCTGTGATGCCCACCATGTGCGTGTTGAATCAAGATTGTGTGTTCCTCAGTGTAACTGACATGTTCACCATGCACACAGAACCCACTTCAAGCAAGTGAATTCTGAGAAATGTGCCACCTGCACCACATTTTTCCAATCACATTCTTGCAAATTCAGTCACATGTAGTTCATAATGTTGAAGATTTCATAATTAAATTGAAATATAACTCTGAAATGACATTTTGCTGCAGTTGTTTTGTGAATGATTGTTCCAGCATTGTGGAAAATGTTCATAAGTAAACTATCATTCACCTGTGGTCAGTTGAAACAATTTTCCTATTAATGCTGATGGGGATACAGGGAGATTCAGCCAGCCCAGTGGTACAGCGCCCTCACTTGGCCAAGTTTGTGCCAGGCTCTGCTGAAGTCAAGGAAGGCCAATTTCCCTGGATGAGAATTGCCAGGGAAGGCCCTTGGCGTTGTATAAATGTGTTTCCTCAATTAACCCGGATTATGAGTCATTGTTATATTGAGGTCGAAACAGTCTGTCCAAGATTAACGTCACATTGAACGGGCGTCAGACTTGTTTGTTACCCGATGAGCTCATTCACTGAGGTCATACATCTTTCATTAGTGTTATCAAGGGTGGGGGTGATAATGGTCTAACCCCCCCCCCCCGGCAGGTGCAGTTTGTCATGGTCTTAGCAGAGAGGGGTGGGTATCCCTCTAACACCCCCCCAGCCTGAGAAATACTCTGTGAGAACTGAATATCCCTGTCAATTCCTTATTTATTTTGAGCTTGAAATTGCATGTGTAAGACCGTATGGTTCACCTTCAGGAGTTGGAAGGTACTTGTAGCTTCTGCAACAAAAGCATTCTGCACTAGATTCTAATAGTCTGTGTTCTCGTCCAAGCACGTTATCTTACCATGCAGCTGTGTTGGTGGTTGATGTTGGTCATCATCAGGGTCTTTCTAGTCACTCCTGTTCAGGTCCAAACTCTTGCCAGTTGAATGGTTTGTGTGCTAGCAAGCATGTTATTAACAGAAGACCCATCCATCTTCTGTTAACTGATGATATGTATAATATTAAGTTGTAAAGTATTGCTTGTGAGAACTCTACCAGTAAACTTGATGAGGAGAGCGAAAAACGGTAGACCGAAGGGTTTAGTTTAGTCATATTAATGCATCGGATTAAAATAATTTTGTTATATTGGTGTTATGCCGTTCATCCCTTCAAGCATGTTCATGATGCAGGTATGTCAGCAATCAGGACAGTATAGTATCTTACTCGCTGTATAATACCTCTTATGAAAAGCAATCGGACAGAATCTTACGTGACTGGTCTATTTGTGATTGACCTCTTTTTTGATAGCCTCTCTGTGATTGGCCAGTTTTTGAAAGGCCCACCTGTTTGTGAAAGTCCTCTCTGTGATTGGCGTCTCTGTGATTGTCGTCTCTGTGATTGGCCTGTTAGTTGTTCGTTCTTCTGTGACTGGCCAGTTTGTGATTGGCATCTCTTTGGTTGGCCTATTTGTGACTTACCTCTGTGATTGGCCTTTCTGTGACTGGCATCTCAGTAATTGGCCCATTTAAATTTGTGTCTTGCTTTTCTGCTATTGGTCTCTTTGTAATTGGCAGGTCTTTGATTGGCCAGTTTCTAATCCGCCTCTCTGTAATTGGCCTGTTTCCGATCGGCCTCTCTGTAATTGGCCTGTTTCTCTTTTTTGGCCTTTCTGTGATGCCTTCTTTTCCGTGCCCTTCGTTATCTCCACCCAGCCTCCACCTACTACAAACTCCACTCGCCATCACCTCTTAGTAACCACTGATGCACACACCCATTTCGAAATCTGGCTTTCGTGGGCGTTCGTTGACGTCAGTACGTCTTCCATTGTACTTGTTTGTTCTTTGTTCACTTTTGAAACCCATCTCGGACCTAACTTTCCTATCTGGCCATGAAGCAAGCTAAGACGGAGCACTAATTCACTTCCCCTACAAATGCTTCATAACAAGATGTGGTCAGAGCAATCTCGGCATCACAAGAACAGTAATGAATGTTTATGTATTGGTTGAGTTCACATGTGAACGCATGCGTCAAGAAAGGGGAAACTATAAAATTGGAGGACAGTATGGGGCAGTCATGTGTCTTATCCAGTCTTTCAGGAATCTCCCTCGATTTTACTAGTCCCAGCCTTACCTAGACACCAAGTTTGAGTCTTTCCATTCTTAACGGTTTTTAGAATGACTTCCTCCACGATAAGTCCATATACATGTATAACATGTAGTTTCATTGTTTTTCACCCCACCTCTCAACCTCTTGTGACGCTCACCAACATCCCTTCTAGATGTACCCTCCCGAATACATGTACCACAAACCCTCGACGAGAAGCATATACCCCCATTGCAGGTGAAAGTTGAGAGGAAGGGGTTTTAATGGGCACTGAGCCCCCTCCCTACCCCACATCCTGTTTGTTTGCAGTGTGGACCTTGTGGTCACCAGAAGTCACTCCACAGGATTGTCTTTACGTCAAGCTGTCCTCGATGACTTGTATCGATTTGTTTTGTTTGCAGGTTTGCATGCGCATGTTTTTACATACATAGGGTTGTCAGAGGTTGTGTATCTTAAGTTTCTTAACCTGAGAGTATTCATAAATCGTCACCAGTGCCTTTGAGTTGAAACTTCAAGGTGCTTCCGCAGTTGATCTTGTTGGGAGAGTAATCAAGCATGGAAGTGTCAACTGTGTCATGTAGATTTGATTGTTTCCTGCTTGTGAAATCTTCTTGGCAGATCATTTAATTTTCTTGCGTAAACATAATTGTGAAAGATCTTTCTGCGTATGTAGATCAGGAATCACAAACAAACAAAGATGTTATTGAATTGAGCTGAAATAAATCGTCATCTTTGCCAGAGGCCGTACAGAGACATTTTCTTTCACACAGCTGTAAATATCACGGATGTATGCAATCATTACAACGGTGATGAAATTCACGAAATTATTAAAGTGACTATTTCCAGCCTCTTCTTTAGATTCTAATAAGTGGCTTGCCAAGGTTTAGCATATTCAGGAATTCTATCTTCGCCCAACCAAAAGTAGCCACGGCACGCCCACAATACACGATCCGAAATATCAAAGGACTTGGCGCAGCAACAGAAGTGAAGTGAGGGCAGGAGGTGTTAATCTTTGCCATCAAACTGGAATGTGTTTTCACACGGAATTCTAGCTTTTGATGATCAAGATCTAGCGTTAGTGCATGTGCCAGCAAGCTCCTGATTTGAGGATTTTCCACCTGAGTTGCTACCAATTAGCACAAAATCTTTTCCCCTGGCAGTTTCTCCTATCCTATCTCGTAGTCCCTCTGCGTGTCTGGATTTTTTCCTCAAGCTTTAGACCTTCTGCTGGCTGGGGGAAGCCCCTATCACTCACTGTGCGCTGTCATACTTGTTTGTGTCTGGCCTGTACCTCTGACTCATCCATTGGATGTGAGCTCACCGTCCTCTGATTCTGACAGAGTCGGTGTCTACGATCACGAGGTCATCAGGCTGCTGCCAGGGATCAAGAACTCACTCCAGGATCGAAGGCCACGGTTTTGACAGATGTCAGTGCCACACTTTGACAGGCTCGGTTCCTTGAGTTGAAGTCCAATCGTGGAGACAAACTAAGGAAATTGTTGTAACTTTGTCAATAATTTTGAATAATTATGGTGGAAAAAAACCATTTGAAGTTTAGTTGTGTCTGTGCTGTCTCTGGTCCTGTCATTCTGTACTGACTCTTGAGAAACGGTGTAGACGGAGAGGATGATTGGAGCTAAAACGCCATTAAAGTGAACCCTGCGGGAAGGGCGGAGTCATTGATGCTTCCGCCCCTAAATCTCTGTGACAGTCTTTATCATTTCTTGTTCCCATCCGGTCCAACTTACACCTGTCTCAAGTCACCTCAGTCACAGGTAACAAAAACATGAAGTGCCCAAGCTGGGTTTGTCAGTGAACTAGGAGAAAAAGCAATTCCACGTCCGTCTGACACCTGTCAAGCATCAAGATGATTCCTAAACGGCGACTCTCAGACTAGGGAGAAGGTTTTTGCACATGTTCTTTTAATAACACACGTCCTATCGTACATTCCCGTCGTCGAAGTAAATTAAATCATTGTCCATAAAAATATAACCGAATTATTTAAAGAGCAATTGTGGTTTAGCACTATTTATAATCGAGGCGCCAGGTGCGGCAAAATCTTGTTCCGACTTTAGAAGGAGCTATATTTACACCAGGGATTTACTTGTCCTGTATCTTCTTCCGACTCGTAGGGTCGTGACTTTAACAAAAAAGCAGATGAGCTTTTTAGCCACATTTTGCCGCTGTTTTTTATGCTGCTGTTGCTAACGAGTTGATGCAGATTTTGCCCTGGATATTATACTTCTGCTTTCTTAAAGCTGTTACCTTCAATTCACCAATAAAAGGTAGCTAGGAGAATAAGAACAAGTCCTCTCCAAGCTGCGTCAAGGCCTCAGGATAGCTCCATGGATAAGTAAGAAAATTGGCTAAGAATAGTTCAAAGTGAAGTGGGTGAGAGATGAAAGAACTATCTATTTGCGTGTAATCCCGTTCTGATTTATGCTTTGAAGTCGTGTGTCATTGGCGGGCGCTCTGGTCACGATGACGCCACTAGTGGGCCTACACTTATCACCCCACAACGCCGATGGACCTGTACCAGATTTCCTCCAAAAAATTACCAGCAGGATAAGAGGGATTTGCCGCTGGGATAAAACACTTAGACAGTCATGGAGCAATGGGAACTCGGGACCATGATGGAGGAAATGAGCTAATCCCATGTTACACCAATAGGGGTATATTTGGCAGCGCTGAGATATTTATAATTGTCACATTAATGATGACTTATCCTTTTAACCCTGTCGCTCGTGTCAGCATTTCCCGTTGAGTGTTATCTCAACATTAATTGAAAAGACTTGTGTGTAAACAGATGTTTATTAATTTCTGAACTTGTCACTTATATGTCGCTACTAGACGGCCGACGAAATGCTAGTGAGTCGTCAAACTTACAATACTTTTGCCGTCTGGGAGCGCTGTGTACAAGCCTCGTGAGATGTTTCCAGTACATGGCTTTTTTTCTTACAATTTTTTTTTTAGTAGCATGTGTTTTTTTTCTTATAACGTCAAACTTCACAGTTTAGAAGGGGAAAGGGACTTTCGTGATTTGTTACACATCTGAATTATCCATCATGGA